CGAGCAAGGTGTTCCGTTCGACCAGATTCCGGCCCTTATCAAGACGATGCAGCAAGCCGGCGTGATGCCGCAATCTAGGGGGCCCGGCCGCACCCGCAGCCCAGCTTCCCTATCCTGCAGCCTCGGCCCCGACGTGGGGCGCCGCGCTCCTGCCACTAGCAATGGCCATGCGGATTCACGTGACCGCTACGGGTACCATGATGGCCAAAAATCCCCGGACCGGTATCCGAACCGCTCTCGATCCCGCTCGCCAGGTCGCCGATGGGAATCTCGTGACAAGGCCCGCAACGGACGCGACAACTTTGGGCACCGTCAAGAGGACGCAGGTCGCAGCTCCGAGTACCGTCAACGAAGCCCAGCTGGTCGTCGCGCCAGCCCTTCGGGACCGTCTCAGCACAGTCAGTACGAAAAATGGATAGAGTACGATCGGACTCTTCCTGAGGGCAAGATTCGCGTCTACAGCCGAACATTGTTTGTTGGAGGTGTCACGTAAGCCCAATACCCCGCAGTACAGAACCTAGCTCATCCATTTCAACGCTAACATCAACCCTTGTTTAGATGTTCTGAGCCAGAGTTGCGCAATATCTTCACCCAGTATGGTCAGGTCCAGACCTGCATTGTCAATAAGGATAAAAGACACGCCTTTGTTAAAATGTTGACACGGAAGGATGCCGAAGCTGCCAAAGAGGCGCTCGAGTTTCCACAAGGGCCCGAGGGCTTGCAATTAAGGGCATGTTCAAGTCAGGCCTCAACTATCTTTTCGCGCTAACCATCATGGCAGACTCGTTGGGGTGTTGGATTCGGTCCTCGGCAATGCAGTGATTATTCTACAGGCATCAGCATCATCCCCATCAGCGAGCTTACGGAAGCAGATCGCAAGTGGATGCTGACAGCTGAATACGGCGGCAGCGGTGGAAAACCCATCGAGACTGGTCTCGTGGTCGAAGAACCCGACATCGAGATTGGTGCTGGCGTGTCGTCCAAGGCTATCAGTCGCCGGATGCAGACCGACAAGGGTGGAAGCCACGGACCCAAGTCGTCTCACGTTGATGATCGATGGCGGCGTAAGAATGGTGGTGGTCATGGCGGTCGAGATCGTCGTGATGACATGAAACTCTCCGGCGCCAACTCACAGCCTGTTGCGAACAACCAGTTTGTGCAGGGCAACGGCTTCAACGGTTTGCCAACTGCACCTCCGAACTACGGCGGATGGCAGCAGAATAGCCAGTAACCTGTTATTGCAAAGTGAATGGTGAAGGGTGCAGGATGCCTATAATGGCTCCCACCAAAGCACGGAGCATGAAGGGAAGGCACGGCGTTCAATGGGGGAGGCTCGGCTTGAATTTCTAATTATGATACCACCGGAAAGGTTGAGAGGAAGCCACTCGCATAGCACGTAGGTCTGAGGTAGGGGTCTCGAAGCCGAAGAATCAGAGCTATGAGCATGTTTGTGCAGGATACTGAACTTGGTTGGAGCAGGCGATTCAGTCCAGTCGAAGACGGGACGTGGAAGCCTGTGTATTTTGTGTAAGTGATCGGTGTTCTCTTGCTTTCTTGAGGGTAATTTGGGCCGCAGGCTCAAATCATTGCTATCGTAGGCAACAATGCGTTCAACTCAAACAGAGCTTAGTATAGAGCCAACGCTACTGTAGTTGCTTTGTAGTGTGAATTTTGTGTCAGGAGAGTGAAAATGGGTATCTGGATTAATAGCAAACGCCGTATAGCCTGATAAACGTCATGCAAAGAACCTGTAGCCTCATCCCCTAAGACCCTATCAGAGCCCAAGCCATGTAGACGAAGAGACTTCGAAATCAAATGATACAACATTCAGGAATATCAACACCCCCGCCGCCTTCCCCCTCTTCTAGGCGAGACGGGGTTTACTCTTCCTCATACTCGAAATCCCAGTCCTGAGCCTCCAACGGATCGTCGAGCTTAACGCCTTCCATCGCGAGCTCGAGCTGTGTCGACTCGGGGAGGGCCCGAAGGTCTAGGACTAAAGCCTGGTTGCGCTGGTGTTGCTGGCTCAGGGGCGGAGATGCGGGATCCAGGCCGCGGAGCCTGCGCACGCGGCCCGAGCTGCGGAACATGGTCTGGTTTTCCTGCTGCTTGGCGTCGGTGGCGGCGAGCAGCGGCTGGTTGTGGTCGCCGTCCTTGTGGAGCTCGTCGCGATAGAAACCGAGGGCGGCGTAGGCGGGTCCCTGGACGGCGCCTATGCACCTGTTCTGGTGGATCTGGAGATTACCCTGCGCTATGTAGGCCCGGGCTCGATCGATGCCCGACTCCGACTCTGTCCCGGCAGGGGGTGGAGGGGTGGGATGGGGTGTGAAGTTCTTAGGCACCCGGATTGACCGCGCTGTAGTGTGGACAAGGGACTGCGTTGCTGGAGGGATTTGGATGTACTTGGCAGGCTGGTCGTCGGCCTTGTCGACGGACAGCAGCGAGACGCGTCCGCTTGCATCGCCAATGGCGAGTTTCGCACGGTTCGGCGAGAAGACGCCGGACGAGATGGGAGCGTCGACTTGTAAAAGATCGCGAACGAGAGGTTTCTTACGGTTCCTAATGTTCCACGCTTTCACCATACCGTCGGACCCTCCAGTGTAAAGCCGGTCTTGTGATGTTCCCCAGGCAGTAAACTTGACGCCTGTATCGTCGTTTCCGACGTCATCACCGATGGGACTGCCATGCCGAAGCACGTGGATGGGGTTATCACCGCGTGCAGTGTCCCAGACATAGACATTCCCGTCCGTAGCTGCAGCCGTGATGTAGCAGCAGGACAGACTGCAAGGCATGATAGTGAGCTCGTTAATGTCGGAAGCCGGACAGTCGAGGCACTGGACCTCGTTGAACGCGCCATACAGCTCCGGCACATCTGCGGGTGTGAAAATACGAATCTGCGTTTTGACGCGGTCGTCAAAGTGCTTGCCAAATGGTGAGCTCGCCACTATGAAACAGGGCTGAGTCGGATGCCAGGCGACCTCGAACACATTCTGGGATGAGCCTGTCATGACTTTGACACTTTTGCCCGTTTTGCAGTTCCATAGACAAATCTCGCCCGAGTTCCGCTTTTCGAGAGGGATGTCGTTGTCGTCCCCAGTGATGCTGCGAGGCGAATAACCGACAAGGAGAAAGTGTTGTACGTCCTTAGCTATGCCCCACCGCATGGTGGCTGGGTAGTAACTCCATTTCTGAGGAGCTTGCGTTTCTTTGTCGTCTTCGTTCCACACCCGCGTCCCGGACAGTGGGATGTAATCGCTCATCGAGATGTCTTTGTCGTTAACGGCGTACAACCTTACGGCCTCATTGGGAACGTCGGCTGCAGTAGCCACCCACCCGATTTGCTTGGAAACTTCGACAAAATTAACGTGGCCTTTATGCGGCCAAGTACCCAAACAGTCCATCCGAGCGCCGAACTTATCGACATTCCAAATTTTGACCGTCTTGTCAAAGCTTGACGTGTAAGCCCGGTCACGCGTGGCGTCATATGTCGAAGAGACGACAGATGCATACAACCACGGGTCTTGACTCTCTCGCATAGCTTCGGTAGAGTTCTCGCCGCTCTCGATAACGGGCCGAGGAAATCGGTGGTCCGCATATGCTTGGAGCCTGCTGTCGGAGGGAGAATACAGAAGCAAGTTGCCAGGCTTGTTGTACTGCTGGTTATGGGAGTCAGAATGGGCAGTAGCACCGCAAAGAAAGCTGTGGTCCGAGACCCAGGTGATGGTCATGATATCGCCAGCGCAGTTGTTCCAATCACCGCGGGATTCAAGTTCGTCCTCAAGAGCCTTCCTAAACTCATTGGTGAAGTTGACCAGCTTGCGGTCCTGCCGAAACCCGCGGTTGCCATCGACCTCGCGCGCGAACAGCAAAGGACGGTATGCGGCAGGCACGGACTCTAGCATTCTGTTCATCGAGCTCGTCGAGCTCGAGACGCGTAGCTACCTTGTGTCGATTGACCCTGTTTGCAGCGGCGTCCTCGAAGAAGTTGCTGATCGACACCTGATCCCTCCTTGAGAGGCCGTCCTTCAAAGCAAAAGTGTTGGCGAGTTGGCAAATGTGTTCAGGATGCTTCCTAGCAAATCGCCGTATCTCTCGCAAAGCCATCTTGCCGCTCTGAGGCTGCCGTGCCAGGTATTTGCGCACTGCTTGCCGAGCAACCTCAACTTCCTCTTCTGTAAAGTCAACATGGTATGGCCAGCAGACGGTTTGCTTTCGCTCCTCGAGAGGAAGATGGATGAGCTTCGCAGCTCCTGCTTGTATAGATCGCCGTTCCTGCAATGCCAGGTATGGGCGTTTGGGAAGAGACGCCCACGCCCCAGTGCCCTTGTTACTGTGCCGTGCAGCGCCATCCTTAGATGCTCGCTCTGGCTTGACCGATCTCTTGTATTTCCAGGCCGTTGCCCTTGCGTGCGATCGGAAACCTAGCGGCGAGACGGGGTTCGTTCCGAACGCTGGACGGAGCTTAGTGTTGGAGACACTTCTCTTAAGTGGTGTGGTAATCTTCGGTAGCAAAACATCCTGCGTCTTTGCGGTGGATGGCAGGTGCGTCGGCCGCACAGGAGTCGGGGTTTGGGCTGGTGTTGAATGTTGGGCGAGTGCAGGAGGATGAGAGTGCGCAATTGGAAGGCGTACGTGTTGTCCCGCAGTTGCTGCGACCTGCCCCGACACCGCATGTGGTCGACTATGGTCTGGGACGGCGCAAGACTCTCGAGGTTTTGACAGCGGTTGCCATCCCATCACGGCTCCCTGGGGTTGCCGATTCGGTGTAAGTATGATTTGTTGGGGTATGGTCGACGCAGAGCGCGAAGAATGTCCGTTGGTATTGGTTGAATGTCCATACGACTAATTCATTGTCAGACACAACCTACACAATAGAAGGTCGGCGTCAAGAGGTAGAAATAGCGTGAAAGGGTTGTGAGGGGGGGGAGGGGGGAAGGGAAAGATGTGGAAGGAGGTCCGTACAGGATCGCCCATAAGGGTGTTGACATGTTCACCAACCTCCGTCTGCAGCTGAGCTTGGTACTCCTGAGAAAGATAGCCTCGCGATGCATGATATTGCGCGAGAACATGGTGTCGGCAGCGAATACTCGGATTATCTGTTTTGTATGCACCATAAGTCTTTGTTTGCACGAGGAGGAAGGAGGGGCACTACCTTGTTCCCGAGTTTGCGCGTGTCGAGTAGGTCATCAAAAGCCGGCTCGATAGCAGCAAAGCTGTCAAATTTACGGTCTAATGCCGTAATAACGTATCTCTTGATGCAGTCATTGAGCGATAGAGGAGGTTCTGGCGTCGGCTGCGGCTGCGGACGTGACTGCAACTGTGGGAGTCGCGATGCGATCGCAACACGCCGCCGTTTGGCGGGCCGTTCTTCGTGGCCATTGTCTCGGGTTGTGACGTGCGGGCTGGATGGGGGCGAGTCTCCCGTCAGGTCGATCACCACAGACTGAGGTTGTTGTTGGACTCGTTGATGGTGCTGTTGTGACAAGCTTGGGTCTTGGCCAGTCTGTTTCGTAATAGCATCTGCGTTCTGTGGCTGGCCACCGATTGCGGTCGGCGCGTCCATCGCCATCTTCATGGCGCCGGTCACGCGCGATAGGCTCACCTCACTGACGTTGTAGGATTTGTAGAAGGTTAGTACCGAAGGGGGATTCCACTATTACTCCTCCTTCTCAACGCTAGCTTGGAAAGCACGGACCCAAGGGCAGAAATGTATGATTTTCTCTGCTAAGTACTTACTAGAATGAGAGCTATTAATTTAATTTACTAAAAGTAAGGACTAAAAATAGAATATATATAATATATAGATATAAGTATAGTAGATACTATCTATTTAATTGATTTTTATTGTTAATGCCCTAATTCGGGACCCTTTTAAATTAGTTCTTCATAGTAAAGTATAGTACTATCAATCCATTTTATCTAAAACATAGCATATTTTCGCACATCTCAATTACTTATTGCAATCGGAGTGATGAAGTAGCGGAAGCGACTATCAAGTTCACTCTAAGCTTCTGTGAATTGAGTTGTTGCGTTCATATTAGTAGTATTAGACATATTGCATCTACCAGATGCAAAGTCGTTATACCTGAGTACAAGAACTGCATTTATTCTTAAACTATGACCTAGAACCAATGTATGTAGGCTTTATCCTTGTGTGACTAAGGTACAATTGCATGTATGAAGCGCATGTCAACTTGATCGTTGCCAACAATGGGCAGTACACAACCTACCTACCCGATCCTAGGTACTACGAAAGAGAGAGGGCTGGGAAATCCAGTCTTCCTAGGAGTCATCTTTAGAAAAAGACAAAAGACAATTGATACACAAACTGATCTATTATAAAGGTATATGCGTCAGGTCTTGCCGTGACGTCAGTCCGTGTCGCCGTCTTAGTAGTCACCTAATCCTTGACCTTTCTGGATGGAGCACTAGCAGATGAACTTTTATCCTCTCTAGATCCCTTTTCTAGGCCAAATATATATCGACAGGCTTTCGACCCTCGTCGAGAAACTACAATATGACACTAGCCACCTTATGCTTTGGCAGCGCCACAGCCCGCGTGGTCGTACAAACCCCACCCAGCTGTCACGTAGCATTTTCGCGTCGCGTGCCACGGGTTCGACTCGTTCTATTCTCAACAACCAGAAGGTGAATACGGGCATGTCTGGCATAACCTTTCTGATGCAAGAAGCTGTAGAGACAGTAATTAATCGCTACCATGCGATAGTACATTGAATTGCTCCCGACAGGTAGCCACGGGGGCGCATTGTGTGAGAGAGCTCGTGACTAGAATTGGCCTGACTGACGAAATACAGGGGCACCGATATTAAACTTTCACCCTTTGACGATCTCAAAGCCCTCCATACTGTCTAGTGCTTTGCGTATCTCAACCTTATACGCAGGAATACCACCCGAGTAGCACACAGGTTCAACCTTCTTTCCGGGAATGCTTCCGCCCATGTAGGTAGATCGCGTCGTCGGGAACAACGTCCCGTTGTTCAGCTCAAGGATGTGCTCCTTCCACTTGTCAGCGGCCTCGGGCTTGGGATTGATGTACCGAATATCATTGTGCTGCAGCTTGTCAATCATGTCAGCGATCCAGCGGCCTTGAACCTCGACTGTCGACGGGCCGTTGCTCAGGAGGGTTGGACCATGGACGCCGTAGATGTGGAACATGTTGGGATAGCCGCTGACGGTGGTGCCGAGGTATGTCTTGGCACCGGGGACCCATTCTTCCTGGAGCTTGTTGCCATCGATGCTCTCGAGGCCGAGCTGCGTCATGACTATGGAGACCGTCAGTACGTGACTTCTCAAACGGATATGCCTCGTGCTTCAGTGGGGTCGAAATACCTCCTGTCACGACATCCTGCGCATCCAAGTCAGCTGGGATACATGTCTCTTGAACGGACAAGGACTTACAAAGCCGGTGGCGATCGCGATGACATCGAATTCGTGATGCGTCCCGTCCTCGAGGGTGATTCCTGTCTCGGTAAACTCCTTTGATGCCGTCCTTGCTGATATCGACTAGATCGACCGAAGGGGCGGTTGAACTGCTCAAAGTAGTCATGCTCGAGGCAAGGTCTCTTGACACCGAAGTAGTGCGGCATGACCAAGGGCGCCAGCAAATCCCTCAGGCGAGGGTCTCCGATGCGCGCCCTCGTCTTCTCCGCCCAGAATGCATAAGACGCCTCATTGGCCTCAGGGTTGAACAGGTTGTCCTTGTAGAGCGCCACCCAGTACCGGAAGCCGCCCTCTGCCCAGACTCGCTCGTACGTGGCCTCGCGCTGCTCAGGCGTGTCGTCAAAAGTGTTTTTCTCCAGCCAGTCATAGTGAAACCCGGCAAAGCTCGTCTCGCGTAGCTTGAACAGTTCCGGGTACACGACCTTGGCGCGCTCTTGCTCGGCGACTGTGAGCTGGCGGCGCCGCATGGGCACAGCAAGGTTCGGGGTACGCTGGAAGACAGTAACCTGGCCGGCCTTGGGACCCCAGTTCTGGACAATTTGAACGCCCGAGGCGCCAGTACCAATGACAGCACAGCGCTTATTCTTAACGTTGACCTCTTCGTCGGGCCAGAACGAGGAGTGGTGGACCACGCCCTTGAACTTATCCATGCCAGGCCAGTCGGGAATGTAGCGTCGGGCGGCCTTCACGCCAAGTCAGCATCGGGGGCATGATGAATGTGAAGCATTGGAGACTCACAAAGCCGGTGCCGAGGACGAGGAAGCGGGCTTTGGTCACTCGGCCATCCGCCGTGCGAACGTTCCAACGGCCGGTGGCAGTGTCAAAGTGAGCACCCACGACAACCGTGTTGAAGGCGCAGTCCTTCTTGATGCCGAGGACCTTGTCGACATGGTCAAAATAGGCTCGAAGTTCGTCGTACCTGGGGTAGTTGCTCGACCAGTTCCAGTCCTTCCAGACCTCAGGCCACGAAAACTCGTACTCTGGGACCTCCGAGTCAACGCCGGCGCCAGGGTAGCAGTTCCATCGCCAAGTGCCGCCGGTGTCGTTGCCAGCTTCGAAGATCACAGACTTATAGCCCCGATCGCGGAGAGTCTTGAGCATGAAAATGCCAGCTGGGCCCGTAAGTATCAGCGTGGGTGTACGGTCAAGATCCGGGGCCAAGTCCACTTACCGAACCCGGCACCGACAATGAGGGCATCAACTTCCAGGTTCTCGGCGTATGGCCCGGTTTTCTCGGCATGTTGGGAAGAGTAGTCAGTCAGCTCCGTGTTGAACTTCTTACGGTCGGCAAGTGGTTCGCCCATGATTCATAGAGGTTTTCGAAGATTCGCTTGCTAGTATTCGAGTACGGATGTTTCTAAGCTAAGTCGTGTAGTGTTGATCCGCTTGCTTTCGACTGAATACCAACTTGCGAGCATTCTGGCCCTTTCATTTATACCTGCCTTTACCAGGCAAGTTGCTCGTGCCAAGCGAGCTCGTGCCCGCTGCCTTCATGACACAAATGCCCATCGCGGGGTCATTGCGTCTCCGTAGCACCGAGAGTTTGCTTGCTGCGATACTCGCATTCTGCGTAATACTGTTGCGGACGGCTTGCCGCAATATGACAAGACTTTCGGTGGATCGCATTCAGATAGTCATCCGCAGAAAGCCAAACGCTCCCGGTGGATCTCATGCACGACGTCTACCGCAAGCCACACGGCTGCGGCTCCCTCTGTCCGAGGTGTTGCGGAGCTGGCGCCGCACGCTTTGCCCATTACGGTAACAGTGATTTTGTGTTGGTGTCACGAGTCAGTGATGCCGCGTCGTTGTGGGCGTTTTGCGGGGGTTAAGTCTGGAGTAGTGCGGGGGAACTGTTCGAGGATGCGTCTTAGTCTCGTAGTGTTATATTGTTGGCCTGGTGGTATATATTTCGACTTTTTGCGAATCCGCGAGGATGACGTTGAAAGCGTTGCTTCTATACTTCTCTCTTCTCTGTTGACCGCTTACTTCACGCCACTTGTGCATACTCTCACCCTTAGGAGTTCATCCCTAGAAAATGCCTTTTAAAACGAAAGCTGTCGAGCGCCTCACAGCAATCGTCGATAATGCCTGCGCTGACACAAAGTCTGACATCCCAGGCGCCACGGTTGTCATAATCGGCAAAGTTGATATCAGGTAGTTGCTGCTGAGGAATCGAGGACGCTTTGATGGACTCTTCGAAGCTGGAAAGGGTTTCCGCATCCGCTTCTGGATCGCCTCTTGCACCAAGCTCCTCACCGGTATCGCCTGTATGCAGCTCGTTGAAGAGGGCATTTTGAAGCTCGATGATGGCGACCACCTGGAGAAGTTGTGTCCAGAGCTCAAAGACCTCAAGGTGTTGCGGGCTGACGGCTCGCTTGAGGCTAAGAAGAGGAGCATCACATTGAGAATGCTTCTCACGCACACGGCGGGTTTCGGATATACCTTCTTCAACGAGCGGCTCAGAGACTGGGCATTTCCGGCAGGAGTGGATGAGTTCTCTGGCCGGTTTGAGGACATGAAGACGCCTTTGCTCTTCCAACCTGGCGAGGGATGGGAGTATGGCGTCAATATCGACTGGGCGGGTGTAGCGCTGCAGCGGGCGACAGGCCTGACGTTGAACGAATTCCTGCAGAAGAGGCTATTTCAGCCGCTCGGAATCGTCGACATGTCGATGATTCCCGGTGAAGACATGCGTTCAAGGCTGGCGTACATGCATCAGAGGGATGCTGATGGCACGCTGAGGCCGAGAGACCATCTCCAGCGATTGCCATTGGTGATCGACCCCAACAACAATGACGAGGTCGCCAGCGTATTCAACAGCGGTGGTGCCGGCATGTTCGCGAGACCGCAGGAGTACTGCAGTGAGTTCACCATCCAGTGAGCGGACATTCAGCACGTATTGTACTAACGGCTGCCGCACAGAGGTCCTGGCCGTTCTCCTGAATGATGGCACTTGCGCACGGACTGGAACCCAGATACTGCGCAAGGATACGGTCGATGAGATGTTCCGTAACCAGATCCCCGAGTTTCCCAACTACAGCCGTCAAGGGATTCCGGCAGCAAAGCCTGACCTCACACTTCCCCTGGGCGAGTTGTATCCGACGGCCGATAACGCGCCTCAGGGTTGGGGCATCACGTTTATGATGCCAAATGCAGACGCAACTGGAAGGTCAAAGGGCGCAGGACATTGGGCTGGATTGGCGAATCTGTGGTGGTGGTGTGACCGCGAGAAGGGCATCGCTGGCATGGTGGCGACGCAGCTGCTGCCGTTTGCTGACGGCAAGGTGCTGAATCTGTGGGTTGGGGTTGAAGCTGCGGCGTATGAAGCTCTTCGGGCGTGATGTGATGTTTGACGAATCTGTTCAGGTCGGAAGTCAAGAAAAGAGTTTGTCTTAGTCTTCAATCTTCAATGCTCCAATACCGATGATACTCAGTGAACAGCGAGCCATACGTGTGAGACGGCCTCGGCCGGTCAAGATGGTGGTTCTAGTCCCGTTGGCAACGGTGAAGCGCTGGTGATGAGGCCTCGGTACCGCGAAGAACGGCAAGTGGTAACCACTGCACCTGCCCCCTTCCCTGACATAGCTACCTGGGTAGAGCAAGTGCAAAGAAGAAACAGGAACAGGGCAGGTCCTAGTACAGTAGCTCCTGGGGGGGTTGTCCTGGAGGGGCCTACCGAGGGTGGGTCCGGGGTAGCGGAGCCAAATGCGGGGTGACAACTCGGGCGGGGACGGCAGGTCATGCCTGCCCACGTCTTGCGTCTCCCTTATCCACTCCTGCCTTTCCTCCCCTGACTTGGTGGGATGAAGCCTACTCGCCTCTTTTCGTCTGTCCCCCTTCGCATTTTCACTGCCAAGAGTAACAGGATCCCACCTTGCTCTTGGGGATGCGTAAATATCACAACGCCTGCGACCAATGTCGCAAGTCTAAGAGGGCTTGTGACGTTCCTCGACTCGTACTGCCAGAGCAGACCTCCGGCAGTGCCATATCTCTCTTAGATCAGGGTCTCCAACGTGAGTGCCTCACATCCCTCAATGAATCGGACTCCAAACATGCCGTGCACAGTCACTCCCTATCCCAAGTTGCAATGCTCATTGTTGATTTATGCTCAGCACCCAAGGTTCGACCTTGTTCCTACTGTCAAAAGACGAACAAGACGTGTACCGTTGAATGGGCATGGTCACAACTCAAAGTTGCCGGTGCTATTGAGGCAGCCTCTCGCGGTGACCTTGGATTCGAACATGCAAGCCGCTTTCCACAACCAACACCGACAGAACCATTCGCACATAACGAACCATGCCCTGGACAGGTGACAAGCGAGGCTTCGTGGCAATGGACCAACCTCCAAACAAGTCTTCCCGCTGACCCAGCTGTGGCCTTTATCGATCTAGACGGGCCTCTCAACTTACCCACCCAGCCGCCAGACATGCTACTAGTGAACTTTGAGGCGAGCCTTTACGCAGGGATGCCTGAGCCCGTCGACACTGCGACCACAGAAACCGATCCTGCGGCATCAGGGACGCTTGAAGTACTATTCCGGGAGTCCTCGACCGGCCACGTACCTTGCGTCTGGCCTCCACCGCAACCAGACGTTAATTGTGACGCCCGCGTCAGCGTTTCCGAGTCGACAGAATTCACCAATCCCTTCGAATACTCACCTCAAGACTTGACTTCATCGCCCCTCTTTTCAGATATGTCTGATCTTCCAGCAGAAATACCAGGGGAGAGAGCACACAAGCGCCGGAGACGGAACCGCCGGCCTTCGAGCCCCTCCCTGTCCCCCTTTTGCGCCTCCAACGCCCTCGTCTCCAGAACCAACAGCGGCTTCATCTCGACCAATCTTCTTCAAATTTACCACGACGTGCTCGAACACAGTCTCTCCTGCTGGCTCACTGAAGTGACATGCCCTTACAAAGGCGCCCGCGGCAGGGACGAAGGACGCAGACTCGCCGAGTGGGGGCCTTCGTGGTCAAACCGCATATTTCACCGAACTGTTCAACTTGACCGCGCTGCGCAGACCGCGGGCCTGGTGACAATGACGGCATTAGAAGGCCGGTCTGCGGACAGAGCGCTTCATTTTGCCATCATGGCGTTTGCAACGCAGTGGGCGCAGGGAAGTCGGCGACAAGGCGAAACCTATCCAGTCCCACGCTTTGCCTCACCGCATGAAACCTTTGACGAGTTTGTCGAGGAGAGCTTCGATCGTGACCTGCAGCGATACTTTTGGAACCAAGCCAAGAAGGCCCTGCAAGAGACGGAATACATCGAGTGTTACAGGGTCGCAGCTGCTGAGATGGTCCTCAGTCTCGCGCAGAGGCCATGGGCGCAGGATGACGTCGATGACTTTCTCGGCGAGCGTGAGCGTGCGCGAACTCCGGATGGTGCCTTCGAGACAGGGTCAATTATGTCGAGAATCGCGTGCGCCATCTCGAGGGACGGCCCTCCCGTCCATATTGAGAGGGCTACTCGAAAGATGCACATTCTCAAGTCTCGCTTCATTTCAGCTAGCAAAAAGGCAGCCAAGGCACAAGGGCGCACCGGGACCGAAGCCATTCATATCATGACACCCGAAAACGAGACGACAGTCGGATTACTCTACTGGCTCGCTGTCATGTTCGACACGCTCTCCTCGTCCATGGACGCGCGTCCTGTGACGGTGGCGGACCAAGACTGCCAGCACGACGACCTCCCGCCCAGCGAAGCAGAAAATGAGAGGTGGCATGTCGATCTCTTCATCAAAGATACGCTAGAGGCGCCCTCTCAGCGCCTACGCTGGCCGTGCTCCTACGAAGACGCCGCCGAGGCCGTAACACGCTCCGGTCCCGTCAAGGTCCTACTGTACCGTCACGTCTCTTACCTTCAGACCCTCCTCCGGCGCGGTCAAGCGGGCGCGCGCATCGAGGAGACTCTCGCGCCCACGACTTCGCTCTATCGATACTGGAACGTCACGCACGGCGCCTTCTTCCGCGACCTGCTGCGCGACTTTGACGCCGTGCCTGGTCGCATACGGAGCTGGTTCTTCTGCATCTCCGCCCCACTGGCACCTCGCTGTGCTCATGTTTGCCGACCTCGTCGAGCAGATTGACGACGAGGGCCTCGGTCTGCCGTCAGCGGGGGCGCAGGCGCGCCGCTGCCAGGATGGTGGCCGCCATGCGGGAGACGAGCGTCAGGGAGCTGGCGGACCTGGCGGGCGTCGCGACGCCCCGAGCGGTGGGCACGGAGCCGCACCTGCCGGGCTTCCACCACGCCGTCAATGAGGGGACCGTCCTCGCCGAGCCGTGGACCATAATCCTGATTAGGGCCTTCTCGCGGGCGGCGGTGCTGATCATGGAGGAGGCGGACAACTATCGAAGGTACGGCCTGGTGCGGTCGTGGGGCGGGCCGCATGAAGGCTGGAACAGCCTCGAGCGCGCTGACGACTGCATCCGGACGCTTTTCTACCTGGGGAAGAAGTCGGACATGGCGAGGCGCGTGGCTGATATCCTCTCCGACGCGCTGGCGTCTCTCCGTCTCGCCGACGACGGACCACCGCTCGGTGGCCATGGGGGCGACGGCGCGGCCGGCCGAGGCGGCGGCAGCAGCACATCGCTAGGAAGCGAGGGCAAAACGGCGGCGACTGGGAGTTCCTCAACCGAAAGCTGGACGGCGGCGACGGAGAGCGATCTCGCGTCTTCGGGCGGTTGGGGTGAAGCGGGAACGTACTGGAATGTATCATCATTAGGGGGTGCCGGTTTGGCGATTTGCGGTTGAATCAGGGCAGGTGCTGGCGCATATGGCAATGTAGTAGGACAAGTCAAAATGCAGAATACTTGTCATCATGACGGACAGCTCAGATCTTCCGACACTGTCATGTGTATTTGTATTTTGCACAGCACAATCTGGGTTGCACAAGACAAGCAGAACCACGACGACGAATATGAATGTGCCAATCGAATGGCGAGACGCTCAAATTTCAGACTATGATCGGATATGATACAAGCTTCAGCAACTTCCGACATACGATATCGGTCATGACGGCTCCGTTGCAGCCAACTCCATGGCGACACCACGCGCCGCTTACAGCTTGGCCTTAGTCGAGGTCTCGGCCTCAACTTCGGCGTACATGCGGTCAATCTCGGCGCGGAAGGCCCTGGCCGTCTGCGGTCTCTTGAGCTTGAGCCTGCATCGACATGATTAGTAAAAGTCTTCCGGTCAAGAAAGCACGCGAGTACATACGTCGGTGTCAGGAGCTCATTGTCGATCGTGAAGGGGTCGATGGCCAGGTGAATGGCGCGCACGCGCTCGTAGCTGTTGAACTTGTGGTTGCGGCCAATCTTGTCAATCTCGGCGAGCAGCGCCTTCTTGACCTTGGGGTCCTGCGCGGCGGCCTTGAGGGCGGCCGTGTCGGTCTTGTCAATGGTCTTCTTGAGCTGCTTGCTCGCAAATGGCGCAAAGTTCTCGGGGTCGATGCCAAAGACGGCGACGAGCGTGGACTGCTGGGGGTCGCCGTGGACGTAGGCCGTGGCGAGAAGGCTGGAGCTGCCGAGATAGACGTTCTCGATGCGCTCGGGGGAGATGTACTCGCCCTGGGAGAGCTTGAGGACGTTCTTCTTGCGGTCGACAATCTTGAAGCGGCCGAGGCTGTCGACCTCGGCAATGTCGCCCGTGTGGAACCAGCCGTCGGCGTCGATGGTCTTGGCCGTCTCCTCGGGGTTCTTGTAGTACTCCTTGAAGATGTTGGGTCCGCGAAGAAGAAGCTCGCCGCGAGGGTTGGGCTTGTCGGTGACGTTGTACTCCAGGTCGGGAACGGACTCGAGGCAGATCTCGTTGCAGTAGCAAGGGGCGCCAATGTTACCGGTGGAGAAGTCCGTCTTGTGCTGGACAGAGGACACGGCATACGACTCGGTGAGACCGTAGCCCTGCATGAAGTTGTTGCCGAAGGCGGCGCGGAGGAACTCCTGGACCTCCGGGTCGAGCTGAGCACTGCCGCTGATCATGCTGTGAGCCTTGGTGAGGCCGACGGCAGCCCTGACCTTGGGGGTCCAGATCTTGTCGTAGAGGAAATGCGTGTTGTGGGCCTTGCCAGCGGGTAGCTTCATCGAGGCCTTCTTGGTGTCGATGGCGCGGCGAGACAGAGCGCCCTTGAAGCCGTCGGCCTGAACCGTGGCCACCTTGATAGCCGAGTTGAAGCGGTTGAAGAGGCGAGGCACGGAGATGAAGCCGGTGGGCTGCAGAATCTTCATGTCGTCGACGAGGCCGAGAACATCGCCACGGAAGAAGCCGATGCTGGCACCTTCTGCCAGGGCAATGGCATCAATCATGCGGCCGTAGATATGAGCCAGAGGCAGGTAGGACAGGTGGATGTCGACGTGAGAAACGGTAGAGAAGGCCCTGCCGCCGGACACGGCAGCGACGGCGTTGGCATGGGTCAAGACAACACCTTTGGGGAGTCCAGTGGTGCCAGATGTGTAGTTGATGGTCTGGAGATCCTCGGGGCGAGGGGGGTGCATGGGGCGGCCAGAGCGGAGACCAATGGCCTCGACATCGGCCATGGAGTAGATCTTGATGCCAAGGTTGGCAGCAATGTCGGTTAGGACGGAAAGCTTGGAGTGGCCGGCCTGTTCACCGGCATCGAGGGCATCGAGCGAGATGAGGGCCTTGAGGGTGGGCAGTCTCGGGGCGAGCTTCAGGAGGGTGGCAATGTGCGGCAACGAGGTGGCGACGGTGGTCAGCTCGGCGTGGTTGATGATGTACTCGGTGGTCTCGGGACCCAGGGTCTCATAGAGAGACACGGTGTATAGAGACTGCGAGGCAGCAGCGAGATCTGGAAGTGGGGATCAGCATTTCTGTCACACCTTTTCCATGCATGGCACTCCGTGTCTCTCGTCATTGCAACGTACCGGTGATGTGCCACTCGGGGCGGTTCGGCGACCACAGGCCGACACCGTACTTCTCTCGAGTCTCACCGAGCTCGCGGTGGACCTCAACGAGACCAGCGCCAAAGTTCTTGCGGCGCTCAGCGACCTCACTGTAGGAGATCCAGGTGTACTTGTTCTCCCAGTCGCGCGTCGCCGGGTCCCAGGCACGGTGGCCGAGGCAGCGCCAGTTGGGGTACTTTTGAGCGGCAGCCTCAAAGGTGTCGTGCATGGTCTGGATGTTGGGGTCGAGGGTGGTCATCAAAGGACCGTCGCGAGCGCGCCAGTGACGGTAGATGGCGGAACGACCCTCCTTCTCGGAGCCCGGGATGGGGAGGCCATAGGGAGAGCCGGGCGGCGGGGGCGCAGACAGCTTCTTGATGAGCGCGGCGGTGTCGACGGCGGGAGCCATGTTGGCGAGGTCGTGGTGATGGGATGCTTAGGGAGGGGCCTTGTGGAGGAGGAGGAGGGGATGGTCGCAGACGGAGCGAGGGGAGCACAATGGCCGCGGATGGGTGCTCAGTTGTATCGAAAATGGAAAAGATACAGGAGGAAGAAGAGGACGAGGGTGGGCTGGGCGACGATGAATGGAGGGCTTCTCGACCTGGAGTTGAGGATGGGAAGGACAGAGATGAAATGAGGAGAAAGGCTCCAGAGGCTCGGACTGCTTTCCTTGGACGACGTGAAGGCCGAGGAGCTCAGGACCAATCCTCAGCTGTGCCTCGGCACCTCCACAGTGGGCCTGTGGGCGCCCCGCCACAGCCTGGGGTTTCCCCACTGCGCCCTGTGTGACTACAGCAGAGGAGCCGTCGCCCTAGGCCCAACCTGGTACGTGTTTCCCGTGGCAAACCGAGGCGCTGTCTCTGGTGCGAGGTGCGCGAGAAGGAAGATGACGGATCAGTCGTTGCGAGCTCGCCATGCTGGAATGCATGTCGGCATGCATGTCTTGGTGTTTGCATGCATGTCTTGTGCTGTCATGTTTGGCATGCGAGAGGCACCGCCGGAAGCCAATGGCTCTACAGCAGTCTTCAGCACTGTATTTAGGTACCCTCAGTGATGTTACCCCTTAAGCCGCTCTAGACATGCTGACCTTGAGTACCTACCGCCTGAGGTTATGCGGGCCAGATCACCAGGATGCTACCTACCAGGGACCATTCTGCTGACTACTACATGGCACATGAAGAAGATAGACTCATTCTCAACCTTCGCCCAGCTGACACGAGATGCCTCTCGATTTGCCGGCTCAATGCCAACTGCTCTCACCTCAGCCACCGCCGTCTTTCCGATCCTCAACTATCCAACAGCAAATGAGAGAAGCTAGAAACCGTGCTTACGCTGACCCTCAACCGGAAATGAGATACCCCAGCTTTCACATGCAAGGGTCTGTCCTTGGCACCGCTCGCCCCGGTTTCTCTGGCCAATACCGGCGAGCCACAAGCGACCCGACCCCGATGATCGCCCATCCGATTCCTCCGATCCGGGTGCCGGTCTTCCCAGCTGCCCGCTTTCTTCACGCGCGCAGTCGTGCCGTTCGGCGACGCGGGTCGACCTGGGGTGAGCCACAAAGCCACCATTGCGTATCAATCTTGTACAACGAGGTGTCAACCATTGCAAAAGAACGGGAAGTCGGGATTGAACACTGCTAAAACGACCTTTCCCTTTCGAGGCCAATCTACCAGGAGCCCATCATACCAGGAGGTCACGTCTAAGGTAAAATGCCCACCCATATGTATATGTACGCTCCATTTTCCTTCCATCATTCGACCTTACATCGTCGACATGCCAAGACGAACCAACCCGCCATCTGGTCTCTAAATCTGGGGACGTCTCTCTGTCTCTCTCTCTCTCCCTCTTGCGCCCGGAAGATCGGCTCTTGCAACCCTCTCCATCTGAACCATCCGACCATCTGAACCAATAAACCTGAAGACCTGAAGACACGAAGCGCATCGTCTTGGCATGATGAAACTGGTCCTGACGTCAAACTTCAGGCGATTCCGATCTGGGCGTCGCACTCGAGTCGAGTGCTCATGAACGACTTAGGGCTGGCAGTCAAACTTGCCGACTTGATCGGAGCTCGGCCTGGTGGGGTCAGTGCTTGTCCTGCCTTAGACGATGAGCAGCTCGGAACAGAGAGCGCCCTCCCCTGAATGTCGATGCAGCGCATGTCGTACCTTTGAACCAACCCTGCCATGTTGCTATTTTGACGTCGACTCGCTTGAACATGTAGCGATCATAGAATGGAGGCAAATTGGTAGTCAGGCAGCCCGCCCGCCAATCACCCATCCCATCTTCGCTGGGTCCCCAAACGCATGGGCACGCCCCCGACAAGTGCGTTGTTTCGGGTTGACCCTCAAACCTGGCCATCCGTCACCGCGTGCGTGCACACGCCTTATGCGCCCCCCAGCCCAGAAGTCGTAAGGGGGGCACGATACCGCCCGAGTGACGAAACAGACGACGGGGTCCTCTCACCAGACAAAAGCGTCTCGACTGCCGCCGCCCCCTTGATGAAGTGCTTGGCATTGTCGTGATTATCTATCGTCTCGACTCCCGTGCTTTGC